CTCGTTCCGATTGGTAAATGGCTTTACCTGCTCCACAGAGAGGTCATTTTTAGAGGCGATATTTTCGTGATAGGAATTTTATTACTTCTTTAGAAAGTATTTGTAAACCATTAAACTGATAGATCAGTTAGCAGCGGTAATAAATGTCATTCTCTTTTACACGGGGCTACTTGGTTCATCTGTTTTTACATCAGCATGTACATTTGCAATCGTGTTGATTACGCACATAATATTCACTGTACCGGTCTTTTTTTTGCGGTCCTTACGTTATTTTTTTCCGTTCAGAAAATACAAGGTTCTGACAATGTGAAGGAACGAGCTTTGCAATCAGGCTGCCTTTCTCTTATCAGATTTGTCAACATGGGAGCAGTAGCCGATCTTTTCAGAAATATTTTCTTCTGCAGTAGTATAAGATAGCCTGTTTCTGGTGAAATTAATGCTTTTTATACCTTAGAATTGAGACCAAATTCTTCACTTTGAGATAATGCAGTTTTGTAACGCCTTTGAGTATCATGTTTTATGTTTTAAATTCATGTAGCACATCACACGTGCAATCAGTGTTTGCAGAAACAGTCTGATCTTTGGACTAAGCTGCGACTGCTGCTTGCCCTATGAAACCGAAGGATGAATTGGTTGTTCGTACTTGGACTGTGATGCTTTACGTAGAGCAAGGAAAATGCCGTTTAATGAATACGTCATCATGTAAACCGTTTATTTATATTGGCTATCGGTTGCACAGTTATTTTGCTGTTCATGCCGTTTCTTTAATAGTCATTTTCGATAAGAGTGACGAGGCTTCTACTGTGATAAGATTGTCACGGTAAAACAAAGGAATTTTTGATGGAGCGAGGTAAACTTTATGATTCCCATCGCAATAAGTTATTAAAGAAACTTACTGGAATTAATCCTCGTCATCTGCTCGTCAGCAGTTGCAGTGCAAGACAAACTATAGAATAGCGACCCTAAAGAATGTCTCTACCAGGCAGAAACCAATGCTCGGTTATAACTGTTTTAACTGAGTATATTGTGCTTAATTAATGTTTTGTACTTTGTTTTACCTTGGTAGTAACGCAAAACAGTAAGTAATGCTCAATGAATTCGTCAAGCTTGCAGCGCACAACAGTAAATATTACTCGACTTTATAACACATCAGTATGCTTAGACAAAAACATTACACTATACTACTTAAAGCAAACATTGTTTTTCTTGAAAATGACCAATGCAGTTTGTTTTAGACGTTTGCAGTTATAATAAAGACTGTCATCTCTCTGTTCCTAGAACTATTGAAAAGGCGGTTTATTGAGAAAAAAAAGCATAGCTGAAATGAGCTTCAGAAATTATAGAGTAAATTTTTATTATTGTGGTTGTTGTGCCATAGTCATCAAAGGCTAGCAGAATGTCATGATTTACGGTGTCGGACCTTTAGCGGTATACATTCACAGTACGGTTCAAACTGTTCTATCAAGAAATCTGGCCTGACATTTATAGCATAACTTGTCACTGGAGCGGTTCATGAAAGAGTCGAACGGACATAAGAAATGGTGATTTATATTGTATTTATATTGATATTAGAATTTACGATTATATGACAGGATATATTTGAAACCGTGGATACTAATAGACCGTTGTTATTCAGTCGGGGTAGCATCGAACTTAGAACTGAGATGTCGTAGGCTCGAACTCCAATCAGATCACTCGCCTTTCTACGTTTGAGGTAGATAAACGAATACAACATCTTGAGAAGGATGTCGGAATCTACGCAGTAGTGGTCAACAACATTTTACATAAGACAGAAAAGGAGATTTACGTCCCACCGTATGCTTTATGAAAGGAGGAGATACCATAAATGGCGTCAGATCGCGAAAGTACAAGGGAGATCGATCAACATTGTAATGATTAGAGACTTTTTTCCTTTTTTTGTAAGGCAAGGGCAGTATGTCAGTTAGGCAAGAAACTTTTAAGAATACATTTTGTAAGACGGGAGGCAGATATAAATTGGCAGTGAAACTTTGAATCTCAGACAAAGAAGCCATTTTTAAAACTAAGCAGTTAACAGTAAATTTTAGTTTAATTTAATGTTATGGTAGGAATCATGGGCTAGAGTACATAAAATGCTTAATAATGATTTATGATTGAATCGTAGTATTTATGTTTGCGATATAATAAAGAATTAATTTTTTATGTAGATATTTATTGTATTTCAACGAGCACGCCCCTGTAACTGAAGGTTCGGCTTCCGGGAGTGGCGGAAGTGCTCTCATGGAAATAGTCGAGTCAAATCCATTTAAACATTTGGTTCACTTGTCGCTGAAGTTCAAACCTGTGGATGAGCGTAGTTTACGCAATTATCTTTCCGATTCGATTTTAGCTATGAAGGTATAGTTTTTTGCATGTTTTTATTATCTATGTTAATTCGTATGATCATGTACAGGTTCGCTTGGAATGGCGTGGGCTTGTCATTTCAACACTTCAAGTCCTCTACCCAAATGATCAGCGAACGTACAACTTTGAAGGGTGTCACAAAATGATTTATAATCCGTTCTTTCGGTGTTGCTATACAGTTGAACATGATTTAACTTCTTCTTATCAGCCTTTAATTCCATTCATTGATGGATTATTTTAGTAGCGGAGCACCATTTTCAGGAATATCAGTGGCAGGAGTATCGCTGATCTGGATAATTAGAAATTAAAAATTGTTACAGTACCGTGAAGGTCGTAGATTGGAGCATGACTCCTTCTCGGGTTCCTGACAAAGCCATGCAAGGTGCTCTTTTACAAGATACTTTTCTTACAGGTGATTCACTGAAAATTAGGTACCGCCTTGCTGAAGATACATGTTATTTTTACAAAGAAAAAAATGCAAAACATTTAGCTTGGTTTATTGAGTTTATCGCAGAATCTTAACAAGCTGTTTTTGTTAACCTTTTACAGCTGATCATCACATAACATTGGCTTTGGGAATGTACTCAACATGTAAGTTAGGGCTTCCTGATTGGATATTTTTTTAGCACAACGGGCATTTTGCTTATTTACTATCGATTCTCTTGAATGAGGAATTTATCCCACCATGCTCTGCTGCAATCAGTGTGAGTATGGCAAGCAAGCAGATAATCTTTAAACAGTTGGTATATCATGGTGCCACGGTTTGGTCATGTAGAATATCACGCAACTTACCAATATAGGGTTGGATTGACCCGCTTTATGTCTGAAATGCGTCTTGACCTGCTTCATTCATGTTGATATCTTCACTTAACGTTAACAGTGCTTGAATAGCAGAGTTGCTCAAACTATTTATGTCTGACCCATACATGCCTTTCGTCAGCACAGAGTAAAATCTCTGGATTAAAATAAAAATATGAATTTCGAAAGTGCGCTTTCACGGAATGTTACATCTTGTATATGTAAGGCATCTATTGGGTGATAGACCGATAATAAGGTTTTGGCAGTATATCGCGTGTTTTCTTCAAGGTAAAAGCTGTGACAGAATATTGGGTTGATGTTGGCGTTGTCTGCAGCAGTGGTTCGATTGACGTCTTGGTTGGAAAAAATTTTTCTCTTGTCGACGACGTCAACAACTGTCCGAAACTTCCACAATTTTTACTTCGAGGAAGGCTTGTGAGACATATACTGAGACTCCATTGTAACTTTAGATTAAACTTTTTTGTGCTGCTTTCTCCATAATAGTAAACGAGTGAAAGATAATGTTGTTAAGATTTTCTTTCACAGCTAAAGTACGCAAAATTTCCAACACATCTGATGACTTGAACCGTACTCGTAGAGTTCGTGTTCTCCAACGAACGGTTCCATGCGTAGTTTTTTGAACGTCTGCTTATAATGGCCCTTCTTCTTGAACTTCTTTCCTTCTCATTAATACAGCTATAAACATAACCTCTTTTGTTAAGAGTTGATAATCATGTCTATTAGCGTCACAGTCCTTCAGTCCTTTTACGTCTTGAAATAGCATACAGGAAAAGATAGCTCACTCGAAAGATTGCTGTTCAATTTTAGCCTGATCACTCGGCTATGTTCTTCTGGGATTGCGAAATACATACTACTGCGTGAGAAGATAATAGGAAGCTATGTCTTCCAGTGATTAGATAATTGCGTAGAAATGATGGTCAACGCTGTATCGTCACCGTTATCGATGTTAACAAAGACCTGTGACCCAACGGCGACACATTTTCTTTCTTCCTATATTCTTCTGAGAAGAAGACTACGATTTTAGATTTTATTTATAGATAACCAGTCCTCTACTATGGTTGCAACTTAGCGTCGACATTTCTTGTTTCGTTCATATCATGCGCTTCCTTTTAACATTACAGCGAACTCTAAAGTCTGCCGAAGCGACCAAACAAGAAGCAATTAAAAAGCTGGACCTGAAAATTTCACAGCTGGAAGGCATTATTGCCAAGAAAGATATCGAGATTGACCTGCTGAAGAAGGAATCGCAGTCGAGTGTAGCCGAGGTCAGACAACGGTTCAACGCCGATAGGGCGAAACTCATCGAGCTCCATGCAGCGGAACTGAGAAAGCAGAACGATGCCGTAAAACAACAAACCGCAGATTTATTGGTATGTATCGCAGCACAACTCTTTTTGACCAGTAACGTATGTATTATTTCCGCAGCAATGCAAGGCCCAGCTGGATCAAATGAAGTGCGAACTAGAAGAAAAAGTAACCGAAGTCCTTGAGTTGCAAAACCATGTGAAGGAACTGCATGCCGAGAAGGAAAGTCAGGGTCGAGCGGTAAGTTCAGTGAACGTTCCATTGCTGACAGGAGCTCTTGCATCTTCAGATTGAACGATAGGGTCGTAACAGATTTTATTAGATCATTTTTCTGCCTGACTGGTGCTGCACTATATTCAATGCATTAAATGAAACGTGTTAAAAGCCGATAGCTTTGGGCATGAGAAATGGATTCCCATGCAGAATCCTGCTGTCTTTTCCTTGTGAATGGCAGAAATAATCATAAGGCAGTAAGTCGGGAGTTTACCACGTTGGAGTCATCTAGTATCAGAAGTTCGTTTTGATATCACAAAGAGAGCTAACCTACTTTATGACATTTGTATGAGAAATCTTGATATGCGAATAAAACTTTCATGAAATCTTCATATTTTTTGTTAGGTACTTCGCATACGCATCTAATTATAATGAATACCGTCGTTTTAAGTCGACTTGATTCGTCGTAGAGGTACTTCTGAAAAACCGTCCATCGTTGATTACTCGAACAAAATGATTGGTTGATTTACTGCTTGACATGGGTAAATTCTCATTACCGTAGTTTTCGCTGGTGTACCTTAACAATAAATTAAATATGAACCGTAACTTCACAATTGCCTACCATCACCCGCAATGTGTCACATCTTCTGTTTCCCGTAGCTCCTCTATCCCCGTAACTTCAGCCATTCACCTTAACTTCATCCATAATCCGCAACATGTTATAGAGGAATAGTTCAATTTTAGGGAATGGCATAGTTATAAGGAAAGTGAAGCTGAGGAAATGGATAGTTGGGGTTATCGCTTACAGGTCGAGAGAGGAAATGGGTACAGTTCGATTTTTACTTGACTTTTCGTCAAGATCCATTAGCTGAATCCAATTTTTCTTGTTTTTACCCATGTGTGTTGACGATATGCCAAATATGGGGTGTAACTTTGATCAATATAGCCGTAACAATACCCATAATTTGTAAATCTATCCATATCCAATTAATTCATTCATCCCTTTTAGCTCCGCAACCGTAATCTTCGCAAGGAAACATGTATACCTTGCTGTTCCATGCGAAATATAAAGATTTCAGCTCTTCCAAAGAAAACTTCGAATAAACGTTGAAATAAGGTGCAGAGAAAATTTACTGCTTGCACGAGATTTCTCATGACCTTGCATAGGTGCAAATCAGAAAACAAATGAATGACGGTAAAATATAAATAAAGAAACAAGGTTCACGAAGAAACTACCATCGCAGGCTTATCGAGCAGCACTCTCATTCACACAAGCAATCTGAGAGCCAGGAATCTGTGAAATTCAAATCTCTTTGGAAATTAGATCGTAAACTTGACCAGATAATTGAATTGCAAAGCACAGCATCCATCAATTTTCGATTCGACAGATTAGTTTAAGTAAAACAATGTGTATTGATCGGATATTATTTCAGCTCTAAGCACTTTCACATTATTACAATAGGAATTTAGGGGAAAAGATAGTTTTTAGCCGTTTCTAGGTTGGACTTCCTT